CGCAGCTCCTGCTGCTTGTCCGCCCTATAAACTGTGCTTTCCCGAGGAGGTGTTTAATGCCCGGTTGGCTTGCCGAACGGAAAGCACCGTCCCTTGTGCAGCATATACTGTAGGGCTGCTGTTTTTTGTGGTCGTGTGGTCAGCATTGAAGTTCCTGACCCTGTGTCTTCCAGCTGTAGGGTGTCCTGGGCGGGCTAGTGGCTGGGGCTGGAGCTGACCGAATGAAAACAATTCTGGTGCGTGATAGGGAAGGAATTGCCAAGTTAGTAAAATCTGAGCAAGTGACCACACTCTGCTCTTACTCGGTGACTGTTGGGAAATGAACCAGAAACCCTCCTCAGACATTTTTGTGAAGTTGAGATGGTTTAGGAGAAACTTAGTGAGTCAAGAGCACTGAAACAGAACAAGTCCTAAGAATATTTTGGAGTATCATATGAACAGCTGTGTATCAAAGTCTTATGAATAACTAGTTTAGTTATTTTTACTTTGTATTTCCTGGTACGTATGTACATTTCATTTGTAATATTGCTTTTAGGTCTTTGTCTTAGCAGGAGCCTGTGTATAACTGTTAACTTATCTATCAGAACACTGATACCATATTTTTAGGTGCTCTGGCTGTAACTTTTTTTTTTCTCCTAGCTGCTCATGCAGGTTGTCAATTCTGTATTTTAGAGAGGTGATAAAGATTTCTCATGTCATTGAGTCCAGTGAGATCTGTCATGTCTGAGCAAAGCCCCACTGAACTTACTGAAATGCTCCGTGTACACAGTCTGCTTGCATTAGTAATTTAGGATTGAGCATAAATTTTCTGTTTGCCTTTACAATTTTTACACTTTTTTAAACCTTTCCCAAGTAACAGTTGTCTAAATATGTGTAAATACCTGTCTAATGATAGACAGGGGAGATCTGAACATGTTTTCACATTACCATTTTATATATTCTCTAGTAAAGAGTTTGTAAAGAAACAGGAAAACAGCTGACTTGAAAACTCATGTCATATTGATGTCCAGTATTATCTTATTAGTGGTATTTTGTGCTACTCCTGCTTAAGCTTCTCTCTTTTTGCTTTCTGGTTTTAAATTAACTTCTCCTAACACATACACATTTGTAATTCAGTATTGTTGCAAACCATCATGCTTGTTATTCCAACAATCACTGATTTGAGTTAGCGTTGTAAGATACGAAAATATGGTGTTGTACCGTAATTGTTCACTTTGTCTTGTTTCTTCTGTATTGGACACTTCATTTTAAGTACATGAGTCATTTTATGTACAAAAGTGTGCATTCACTTGGATATGATCCAAACTGCAAGTGTACCTTGGTGAACAATTTTTAATATCTTCTTTTGCTGAGTTGCTTAAATGTTGTGATTTAGTGCTTGTAGTTTTTTCAAGTATGCTATAAAATTGCTTATTCCAATGGTTTGCGTGGCACATTTCTGCCTCTCATGGTTATCACTGCCATATAATCTATTTTCATTTGTTTCAGACCAATTGAACAGATTTGCAGGCTTTGGTATTGGCCTTGCAAGGTAAGAGTTGTATAATACTTTTCTGTGGTTATGCTGCAGTAAAGCTACAGTTGCCTTAGACTTCTATTATTGTGCATTTTTATGTCAGTAGGCCACACAACAGCATGTAGAAACCTACTACCTAAAAGCAATGCAGGTTTCTTTTTCTCAAACTGAAGTGTTCTCTGTGAAAATTCCACCATCATTAGTGGTGGTAAGGTTTCCAATACAGCAAACCTTTCTTTTTTTTTTTTTTTTTTTTCCTATACATAAAAATCAGCATATATATCTGTCTGTTCTGTGTACTTATCTACTACAGCAATGTAAAAATAGCACAAGAATATTGCTTGCACACTTGCTAATCTTACTAATGTTTTGGGGTGGTATCTGAATCTTCCTAAGAAGGTAATAAAGCCTGTAAGGTTTGTAACAAAGTATCCTGGAATAATAATCTTGATGTGGCATAGTAGGCTAATGTACATTTTATTCTTTACTTTTGGTGATTGTATTATTGATAGTATTTTTTGCTTCTTAATTTTGCTTCTTAGTATTGTTTTATTTCTTATTAATCTGAATGTGAGACTTTGTAGACAGAAAGGCTTTCCCTTCAGAACTTGCCTTTTTAGGGCACTCCCTTGATAGTGTTTGTGACATTTGTCAAGGTTTCAGATTCATGGGCAGTTGAGGTGTACTTCAGTTTAAAGAGGAGGATCTCTTATTCAGCCCCCAGCTATGAAACATTCTCTGTTCTTATCCCATTGTTATCATCCTTGATGCCTAGAAGAGCTTCTTTGAACCAATATGACTGACTTAACAAGAAGGCAAAACCAGTGAAGGTGCTGCATTCTTTTTTTTCTTTTTCACTGAGTCGGGTTTATGTGGGTGTTGGCTAGCTGTTAGAAGCAGCAAAGACCAGCAGAGGAAGGCCAGTTAGGAAAGGGATAAAGGACAGGAAGGACTACTGCAAGTAATAAGCTTCTTAAATTTGATCATCATATCTCATTAAATTGCCCATTCCCCTTCTCTTCTTGCTTCCCTTGCACTGGCTCTGCTGCTTATTTGGACCTGCTAATGAGCATGCAGTATTTATTAAAACTCGGTTTAAGGGGAAAATGAGCTACAAGAACAGCTTATTAAAGAAGAGAGATGGAGTAGAGAGGAACTCTCACCCCTTTCAGTAGCAGCAAACTTCTGATTAACTTAATAGTTTGAGAAAGTGTAGGCTCGATGCGTTATATTCTGATTAATATTTGTTTATCCAGAGTAAAATCTCTCTAGTTAAGAGCTATCCCAAGTGTGCCAGTAGGGTTGGGGTCACAGTTGTTATCACAGGTGCTTGACACAGAGTCTGGAGCTTTTGTATTTCTAATCCTGATCACATATTTGAACCATATACAGATCAGTGCTCACTTGGATGCTTTGAAATGAAATGAAAGTTTCTCTGCATAGCTGTGACCACAAGTGCTACTTTAGAACTAACAGAACTTTATTCTGAAAGCTTCAGTGAAACATTTGGGAGTGGGGGAAGAGTTCGTTTCATGCAGTAGCATTTTCTGATGAGTAGTGTATTACTGAAAATTTCCGAATTAGCTTTAATACCGGTTGCCTAGCTTTGCTAGGAAATGCCTTGATTAATATTGTGGTGTGTAGGATTAACATAAAACTGCAAAATAATCCTCCTGAACGTGACTCGAACATGTTTTGTCTCCTCATGTTTTGAGGAAGGAGGATTTAAGCATTTCAGTACTTTGTTTTGCCTATGAAAAAAATGTGCATATAGAGCGAATTACTTTTTCTTACTGAGTGTATATGTCAGATTTGGTTCATGGGTGTTTTTGTTGTTGTTTTGTTGAGTTTTTTTGGTGTATGTGGGTTTTTTTTAATACTCGTCCTTTTGTATTACTAGTGGTTTATATAGCAGTACTCCACAGTACCTCATTCATTCACAAAATATAAAGCTAATACATAAGGTTTTTTAACTTTTGTTTTTCAAATACAGCACTAAGAGTATTAGAGAAAATCAGGAAGCATTTAAAATCGATTTACAGTTACTTCTGGTGGTTTTAAATATACTTTTCTTTTAAAGTCTCTTTACAGAAAATGTTTTGGCTCATCCTTGCATTGTCCTGCGTCGTCAGTGTCAGGTATACCTTTTATATTTCTACTACTAGACAGACCTGTTGTGTTCTGTAGTATTTTTGTGTGCTTTTATTTTCTGTCGAGTTTTAGTTTCTGTAGAGTTTTCTGCTTTAAAAGTTCTGAAAAATTTTTAACAAGACACTGCTAGATTATGTTTTCACTTACAACATTCACGTTTTCCGTTCAAAATTTACTTAAAATTTAAAATTTCCATTTCAAAATTTAATTTACCGTCAGCTTTCACGTTCTTTCCATTTGGAAAATGGAAATGAAACTAAACGGTGTCTGTAAGACCATTTTTGGATCACCATTTATAAGCAGGATACTTTTATTTTTTTTTCAATACTTTATGTGTGTTTGTATGCTTAAAATGTAAAAAAGTTCTGCCTGTGTTTCCTTAAAATTCAGTGGGAAATTTATTAATATTTTGTTCACTTTGGTTGATCTTTATAGAGTTTTTATTTTTTGTCTCTCCTTCTCCTTAAAAGAGGAGCCAAAAAAAGTCTTATTTTGCAAGTGCTTTTTCTGTAGATTTGTATCATATCCATGTGTGTTTATAAAATGCCATAATTTATGTTTTAACAGGTTAATTATCATGCTCGGAACTATCATCTCACTCCATTTACTATTGTCAATATTATGTACAGCATCAATAAGACACAGGTCAGTTTTGGATGTCTATCTGATGTGTGTGCTGGAGGTTACTAGAGCAAGTGTATACTGAAGCGTACCCTTCATGCAACTGGTAGTTAGAAAGCATGAGTATATAAAGGGGTAGTATTTCTGTTACAGAAATATTTTAAAAAGATAACTGTAAAATCATTTTATCAGATGAAAGATTGTAGATAATGGAAATTTACGTTCTCTAAAATTAATATTTTGTTAAGATCCTAAAAAAAAAAAGGGAAAAAGGAATTTTTATGTGGATAAAGAGATTTAGAATTAAGTTACTACTTCCTAAGACAGTAGTGCATGAGTTTCTGCGTAGTCCTCGGGGACAAATATCCTGAAATTCAAAGTAAGAAAAAAAGTGAAAAGGGACTTTCTGGATTTCTAACAGCCATGCTTTAACATTTCAATTTTTTTGCCTATTGAAAATGGCATTAGATTTAAGATACAAAATGTACCCAGAGAGATACATGCCTCTGAAATTATTGACAACTATTTGAAATTATGTAATAAAATAAAACTTTTTTCGGAGTTGAAAGAAGTTAGTTGCATTCTGAATTTGGGAATATGGCAATCTAAAGTTAGATTTCTACCCCCTGGATAGCTGGGGCTTGATGATATTTTATGAAAATGAGCAGAAAGGTGAGAAGATTAAATTTTATCTTGCTTGACTTTAATTGCATACCTCAAAATATAGGGTCCAAGAGCTCTTTGGAAAGGAATGGGCAGCACTTTCATTGTTCAGGGCATAACCCTTGGAACAGAAGGCATCATCAGTGAATTTACACCTTTACCAAGGTATTTCATTTATTTTTTTAACTACTTCTAACAAATTAATCATCAGTTGTTGACTTAAGTTCAAAGAATTAGAAATATGAGGTTGTTTGAAAAGCTTGAATTGTTTAGAGCAGTCAGACACGGAATATCTGTTTTTTGGAACAGTGAACTGTGTGTTCAGTATGTCTGCCTAGCCATATAAGTACAGAAATGAAGTTGCAAATCAGCATTCCATACAGTTCTACTGGCATGAAAGGACTCTTAAGTTTGTTTTTGCACATATTTTCTTGTGTTGTATGGTTCTAGCAATTGTCATGTCTAAAGTAAAGTCTGGGTTTCATTATTCTTATACAGATAATTTGGTTAATGAGCCAATAGTGACATCTTTCTGAACATTTTCACTGCCTTTGGAAATGAGAAAACAAAATGACCTGCCCTACTAAATTAAGATGTGTTAAGTATGAATCCATGTGGCTGTCAGCTTTTGCCTTTTGTCCGCCTTTACCGACAGCTATGTGTACATCATTCAGTAGTCTCGTAATAAGGTGGGGCCAACCAAAAATGAGGGCTTACATTAGAAGAAGTATTAGGTTCATACAATAAACTCTTACGTTTTAGGACAGGGCAGTAGAAGTGTGCAGTAACATTTCTGTGGTAAGTTGATTGTCACTTGACAAACTCCTGGTTTTGCTCCTCCAATAAAAGGGTAGTTGTGCCTAATGGATCAACAGGTTAAGCTTTCACAGATCTCTTAGTTTGGCTAGAAGACTTGTTTCATTTTTTACATCTTCCAAATTATTATGCCTCAGTAGATGTCATCCAAGTGTCAATGATGCCTAATGTTGAATGATCTTCCCTTCCTCTTCAGTGGCCTGTGTGTTTAGGAAAATATTTCCTTATAGTAACGCACAGTTCTTCAGGAAAGAGTAAAGAGTTTCCTGTCTTGCGTTAGACTTGCTCTAGCTATAGACAGAGTGGGTGAGTGTGATTCTTGGACAGGAATTGAAGTTGAACATTTTAAAACTCATTTAAAAACTCAGAGTCTAGTACGTCCAGCATTTCAGAGAGAAATATCTTTACAACAAGATTTTTTGTCTTGAATTAGTGATCTTTCAAGTATAATGTAGTTAACATTCATTATTCATGTTCTGAAGAATGCTGAAGAGTTCTGAAGAGTAGAAGATGCTACTGTTTGTTTTAACTACCTTTGTATACAGTGCAGGTGTGTTCTTTTCTTTTGACAGAATATGGTAAAGACTAGTCATAAGCTAAAAATAACTTAAGTCTGCAGAGGAATACTATTCAGCTTCCTAGTCTCTAACTTTTTCCTGATATGCTTTTTGGGCTTGTGTAGCTGTAATATAATATTATTTAGGTTTTCAGAAAATAAACAGCAACTGAATGAACATAACCTCAAAGAACTGAAAGAGTATAACCAAAACAAAACATAACCAAAATACCTGTTGGTAAAGAAAGACTACCAAGAAGTAAAAGTTTCCCCATTCCCTCAAAAATGGCTTTTAAGAGATGTTATATAGGGTTACTAATAGTTGTAAGTTGCTAAAGCAGGTAGCTATGAGAGCTACAGACATCCTATAAATCAGCAAAGGTATTTTTGTTAGAATATCCAACAGATCTGAATAGCTTCTAAAAGGTAAGTATGAGTTAATAAGTCTAACATTGCAGAATTTCCTATAGTAGAAAGCTATATGCATACTGTTACTAGAGCACAGATATGGAACCTGGCTGTAGAGACCAGTGAAACAAATGTTTGAGAGTAACTGTTTCTATCAGTGTTAAGAGGAATACTGCTTTTCTTTTTAGAGAGCTTTCACATAAATGGAACCTCAAGCAGATAGGTGGCCACCTTTTACTCAAAGGGTAAGTGTAGCATGTGTTATTACCTTGTTTCTTGTTATTGCTATAAACACTGTTTATATCAGTGTTTCATTTTCAGAATCTTATATGCATTTCTGAGTTTCAAACTGTATGAGACATCATAAACCACACAGTACAAGTGGTAAAGATATAACAGCACATATTGTTTTTTTACTACTGGATTCTTTGATGGAGCCACACTGAATTGAAAGTTCTGATTTCTCTGAAACTTCAATTGATCTGGTCAAAGGGAAATAGAATGTAATGTTTATTGCAGTTCAGACTGAAGTGATTTGGTTTTGGGGGGGGGATTGTTTTTTCTTTTTTTTTAAATGTGCACTTTAGTAATTGTGTTAAGGTTTGCTAAATTCTGTCAGGCGTGACTTGATAGATGACTTGTATTGACTTTGAGTTGCAAATTTGGCTAATACTATAGCATTGTCCTGACTTTAATTTGTATTTTATAATTTCTGCAGCTTAACACATGTGATAGCAATGCCTTTTTATTCCGCAAGCCTGATTGAAACTGTGCAGGTAACTTAAATATTTTTACAATATTCATAGGATAGGATTCTTTTTTATATAGGTTAGATTGAGTCCTTGCCTTTGGCCTTGTCAGTTGTATGTTGCAGTAGTTATGATTATTTTGCTTGGGGTTGCATGACTTGTTAATTCACAGAGAAATGTATCTATTACAATGGATGTATTAGTTCTACTATTTTAAGTAGAAACTTAAGAAATGACATTTAATAGAGTTGGAATACATTATCTGTAAAATGGGAACAAGTTACTTCTGTGTGTTCTGTAGCAGATAAACCGTAAGAGATATCTTCGTCATGTAAAGGTTTTTATAGCCTCCAGAAAAATTATTATAGTGACCCTTCTCCTTATGAGAATTATTAGGATTTTCTAATAATTCAGCTTTGTTTTGTTAAAATATTGAACTCTGCCATTTTAGGGCTGCTTTCATCTCATCAATCTTCTGCTTTTAAATTTTAATCTAGTTCTTCATTTGATGTGAAAAAAAGTTTCAGGAAAATCTAGGTACATCATTAGGATGTATCTTAACTTGCTTTGCAATTGCACAAAGTAACCCATAGCACTGTATTTCAGATCATTTTTCAATCATTTGAATTGTTTTTCTGGCAGAAGGGGGTGTTTTGTTCAGGTAGTTGCATTGCATATATTTGCCTGAAAGGATGTTAGCTATGGTGTTGGAAATGGTAGAAGAGGACATAATTTAGATTCTGACTAAATTTTCAAAATAAGTTATTTGTGCTAAGTAGCAGTCTAATTTAAAAAATGAACAATTAAAAAGAAGCCTCTTCTCCAGCCTTTTAAAGAGATGACCATCTCTGTAAATTTATGAAAGTGATCCCAATGAGAATTTAGAGATTTTGGGCTACAGACAGTTGCAGTGGACATGATACATGGTAAGCTCAGCTACGTGCTGAATTCTACTGAGTATAAGGATGCATCATGAAATGAGGAGTTCCAGTTCCTGCAAACATGATCATAAAATCCTATTAGAAATACAAAAGAAGTAATGTGAGCATTTGTCAATACTTTATTATGCTATATTAACCAATGCAGGGGAGCAGCTTGACTTGCCAGATCTATGCTCCTGTATTATTTGCATTATATTCCTGTAGTGCAAGAGGAAAACTAAAAATTATAAAGACTGTGGGGTTACTAATAGTTTTTTTTTATATTAACTTTATTTGGATATCTTAATTCTGGCGAGATATACTGTTCCACAATGTTATTTTGATACTTCCATATACACACACATATTTCTGTAAGTATGCTTCAAATTTCTGCTGCTTATAGTTAACTTGGCTGTAGTTGCCACATCAGCGTGTGGTGACCACATGGTGGCATATTTGACAAAAGTAAGTTTAGCTTTGAAGTGCCAGATCCGTAATGATACGGTAGAGAAACAGCAAAATAATTTCAAGTATTTGAACCAGTTTCTGTTCTGTAAAAGGCTTGGTGGATCATATCCCTGAGCTTGGGGAATGTTATGATCTCCTCCTGACATGTGGCAGGACGCAGCTGATAGGCCCCTAAAGACTTGGGCAGTGAGAAGAACTCCCAAATTAAGTGTGGATGTAATAGCGATAATGAAAAATTAAGTCTGTATAAACATGAGAAAGGGTAAAAATGCCTTGGTCTTATAGTCATAAGTGGTATACAACAGTAAGAGAACTACGACATGAATACTTTATTTTCATTATATGAAAAAAATCTCCTTTGAAAGAGATAGCATGAGTAAAGAGTGTTACTTTAGATAATGAGTGGAGTGAAAATAGTTGACCCTACTCACTTTCAAGTCAAAACAAATATTAAACTCAAGTTTAGTTATGGAAGTCTCTATATTATGAATATTAAAGAATTCAGTTAAAATTCTTAAAGGGCAGAATAGATGTTAAACCTGATAAATGCTTCCTAGCATTTGTATACTAAAATAGGCATTTCAATACAGAGAGTTTCTTGTGTGGACTGATAGCATTTGTAATATGCGAAAAATTCGGTGTGTTTGGTAGTAACCCGACTAATTGGGGTGCAGATTTAATAAAAAATACTTTAAATAAAGATTCACTATTAAAAGCAAGTTTACTTGAACATAATTAAGAATGTTAGAGCAAAAAAAAGTATCAGTATGAAATGTAAAATGAAAATGAAATGAAAAGTATCAGAGAAATGAGTTGCACAGATTTTAACTATTCTCTTATGCTTGTAGAGTGAAATCATTCGAGATAATCCTGGAATTTTGGACTGTGTGAAAGAAGGGATTGGCAGAGTTGTAGGCATGGGAGTACCCCATAGTAAACGTCTTCTTCCTCTGATGGTGTTGACTTTTCCAACGGCTCTACATGGAGTTCTTCACTACGTCATCAGTTCCATTGTCCAGAAGCTTGTTCTGTTTGTTCTGAGAAGGCAGAATTCCCACAGCCTTTCAACAGAGAGCTCCACTTCTGTGCAGAGGATGCTGGATGCCTATTTTCCAGAACTTATTGCTAGCTTTGCTGCTAGCCTTTGTGCTGATATTATGCTTTACCCGCTGGAGACAGTTTTACATCGCCTTCATATTCAAGGGACTCGCACAATAATTGACAATACAGACCTTGGCTATGAAGTGCTTCCCATCAATACTCAGTACGAGGGCATGAGAGACTGCATAAATACTATAAAACGGGAAGAGGGGATGCTAGGTTTTTATAAAGGATTTGGAGCTGTGATAGTACAGTATACCGTGCATGTGGCTGTCCTACAACTCACTAAAATTCTTTACTCAGCACTGCTTCAAAATGTTTCTTAATTTGTTCAGGTGTGGATTTATCTCAGTGATCTAGTTATTTACTAGTCTAGTTATCGTTAAAAGTGGCATAGAAATGACACTGAAGAATGTGCTCTATAGATGCTGTCTACACTGTTAAAAAAAACCTGTTTTGAAAATTGGAATTTAAATTCCTGAATATCATTCAAAAGTACTATTTAAATTTAAAATGATAAGCACCAATTTAGTAGTATGTCTGTTCGTACAGAAAAGAATCAAATTCTGGTTGTAATGAGATTTTAGCTTTCTTCTTGCCAGTGAACTAGCATGAGGAATGAATATGAATTTTTCATCTCTGCTTTATAAACATAGAAAGGCACATGCTAGGCAGTCCTGAAGGATTTTTCATGAGTTGTAAGAACCTGGAAGTGGGAGAGTGACGAGTGTCCTGATCTTTTAAAAATGTTTCACCTTCACTATTAACGAAGCTGTGAGGAAAATGGTAATCATAAAAACTTGACTAGATGTAAATGTCATAATTTACAAGTACATAGAAGATTTTTCTTGCTTTAACTGCTGCAGTGTGGCAGAAGATGAGGTAAAGTTATTTGCTTTCAACAAAATACTCTGTAGCCAAAACTTGGTTTTGGGCAGAGTTGAACGGAATGCAGAGACTTAGTGTTTGTTAGTAGGTCTTACAATAACTGATGTGTATGAATAAAGCAAGTTAGAAGTTGATTGTGTAAATGTGTAAGTACCATTTTTAGTCAACTTTGCACTCAAGACTTGAGAGTTTAGTTTTATCTTGATACACTTTATAAGAGTAAAATAATCATGCACATGTATTTAGTATCATTGTTCAAACTAAAAGCTGAAAGCATCAAAGTTTAATTGACCTTTTCTAAAGTTTCACTTTTGTTAGATTGGAGAGGAATGTGCACATATATTGAGCAACCATATATGTAATGTCCATTTATGATTTAGCACTAGTGTCCTTTGTTTACAGGCTCTGTTCGACTGAATATTTTGTGAAGCAGATTTAAGTCTGTTAACATGTAAGCTGACTACTGAAATGTACTATTTGCCCACTTTTCCTAGTAAATCAAGGCTTGTAGTGTAAAAAATGCGTGTTGATCATTCTAAACAACTTTCAGACAGTATTCTGAACAGAATTCAAGATCTCTTGGTTTCATCAGTAAATAAAATGAAAGCTGGGGGGGAGAAAATTATTTTAACAAGTAAAGCAAGTGTATGGAGAATCACTTTTAAATTATATAGAAGGCTATTGTATTTTCACACTTCTGTGGTAAGTCTCTGTGAATACTGTAAATTGATGTGCTTTTAACTAATATTAAGCATTGTATAGTAGTCTGCCATAACTGCTTTTCATAAATGAAAATTAATGAAAGGTGTTGCTATTCATACCTTCTGACTGTATCATTTGAAGGTCTGCTTTGCTATCATCAAGCTTTCATGTGTTTTGAATAAGTGTTGAAATGGCAAGTATAGTGATTTGGGGAACTGGTTTTATTTCGAAACACTGTAAATTACAAATTTAGTGTGTAGAATGGAATCAAATAAAGTAAAAAATACACTGTAAATACTTTCCAGAAATAATTAACCGAAAAGTTTATAGAGGAATCCTGATCTACACGGTGTTTTGTTGTATAGTATTTTTTCAGTAGCAGCTTTTGAATTCTTGAATCTTTTCAATGCTACAGCATATCAAATTAAACCTATGTTAGGAATACAGGTAAAATAGTTTTTAATTTGCATTTTTAAGCATCTATGACCATGAAACATTTCTATGGGTATGAAGTGATTCATATCAGAGGATTGCCTGTGCTGAAAGGGACGTTAGTATGTCATCTGGCCCAAACTGGATCAGTTCAGATTGTTGGGAGGTCTCTTTAGTCAGGCTTTTAATTCTGTCTTATAATACAACAGCTTTATTTCCAGAGGTGTTAAATTCAATTGAAACCTGTTATTCTATCATATTTTCTTTGAAATAGTTAACTAAATGCATTTTAGAGGCAAGTGATTGCATACATATCAGTGAAGCCAGCTGAGAATAATTTCTAGGAATGAGATTTTAAGGAAAAAAGATATTTTCCTTACAAAATGGAGGACATAAACTCCTTATAATTCCTGTTATAGATTGTGTAACAGTATTGGCTTGCATGAAACACTCTAGCTTTCCTTGCCAAGAGTTTCCCAACTCGGTGCTTTGCCACACTTCTACTCGGTACCTCTAAGCAGCGTCAGAAGGAATGCTGGAAGTTTACAGCAGTTCTTCTGTGATGGGGAAGCAATTTGCTCTAGGCTATTATTTTTGGTCTTGCATCAATTAGAATGAATGTGTTTTGAATTGCCATGTATGCTCGTTCTGCTTTCCAAAAAAGAATAATTTCTACTGTGTCTAAAGCTGCAATTTTTACCTGTTCAGGTGGAATTGGTAGGGTTTACCTTTGATTTACAGGCCTTCTGTATATGCATTTCTATTTTTATTTAGATATGAATCAAGACTTAAGAGACCAGGCAAGCAAATTTAATCTCAATTTTATTTACGGATCAGTAGGTGATTTTAATAGGCTATGGCAGTTACAAGAAGTGTAAAATATCAAATCCTTCATTGCTGTGGAATGTTAAGTTTTAGAATTTTCAGGAACATGAGAAAATTCTTTTATACTTCATTATTCCTAATACAAAATCTGTTTGGTGGTTTTGCTGTTTTTGGTTGTTTGTTTCTGTTTTCTGATTTTTGTTTTTTTTAAAGGACTGGTAAATCCTGTGGAAGAAAGAGTTGGCTGATGCTCCTATCCAGCAAAGAATTAAACGTACTTTCGGGTGAAGTACGTTGCAGTGGACCAGGCAGGAAGCTGAGGTTTGGACTGATGAAAATGTTGTGGTTGTCTGGCTGTGTTGTCTTGCAGAGTGCCCCATAGGTGAGACTTGACTTTTGGCTCAGAGTAGAGTTTTTGGAAAGGATACAGCGTTGATGTGGGTAGTTTAACTCATGGAGAATAGCTATTCTTCAGCAAGTTATCAGCTGTTTTCTTCCTTTTTAAAATTCTGCTTTGCTTCACATGAGTTAATCTGGTTTCTCTCTAATTCTCGAGATAACAATCCCCAGGGAGAGCAAAAGAAAGTAATATTTTTATTTAATGAAGAACTGGTAGCATCTATGTTAAAGTAAATCTACTGATTCAAAAGAGTTGAATAAAACTATATTTTAGAGAGTGTTTTGCATGGCATAAAGATCACTAGCTCTTCACCTTCAGCCTTTTCATGGAGAGTTTGGCAGATGTGAACAACTTGAGTTAGCAAAATATGAGAGTGAGAAAGATAGAAGGCAGAAGTGTTGAAAAGGGAATTTAGAAATCACCCCAAAATGGAAGTTTGTGACAATCAATAATTAAGGTTTTCAATTTGGCCAAATTAATAAAAGAGAAAAGTAGAAACACCCACATGTTTATGTTCATGAGGGGTCTCATTTAGAAGTCTATTTCAGTCTTTAACAAATATTTTAAAGATAAGTGAAAATCGCAAAATATTTGAAGCTCAGCATTTTTCTTTCCTCTTGTAATTCCTAAACTAACTCAAGTGAAAAGGCAATTACTCTTTTAATTCATTTTTCCATAAGAAAAAATGAGGTATCTGCATCTTACCTTCAAATCAGTGCACCATTTCAGTGGATATGAAGGCGGTCATGCATAGATATAGCAGCCTATAGCCTATACGGCTATAGGGTTTTTTATTCAAAATGCAAATAAGTTGGCTGCAGATCATGTTGCCTGTGGCAGCTTGATTTGGGTGTGTAATTCAAAACGAGAGGAGACTGGTGCTAACTGTTGGGAAGCAATGTGACCTGCACCCAGCGAAGTAATATATGGGCGATCATGCCTTAGCTGTTGCGTGTAATTACGAGGCTTGCGCTTGTTCTGCAGTCTCAAGCTTGGCATTAGTTCTGAGCAGAAAGGCCACTTGGCTGAATTTCATCCTTTTCTCAAAGGATCCTTGTGTCCTTACAGAGACCAAGTTTCTCATGGCAACAGGCTTAAACATTGATGTTCGTGATTCTTGATTTTACAGCATACTTCCCTCCCGAAAAAAGAGTAAATTTGCTTCTTCCTGCAATGTTGAACATAACACGCTCTGCTTTTTGGTTCCTGCATCAGAGTACTCAGTTTATGTAGGTTCTACGTGAGCTTTCAGGCATCATATGTAAGAAGTGTGTGCTACCACCAGAGCGCTTGCTCCAGAAACACTCATGTGCAGAGCTACCTTAGCTCCTGGCTCCCGGCTGCTAATGGCTCTGTTCAGTGCCATTCGAAATCTCTGTAATCCTGTGTAATCTGAACAGACCACTGATATTTTAAAGGTCTCTACAATTACAAAAAAAAACGGTCTAAACCTGATGTAAAGTACAAGCACAGGCAGGCTTTCCAGAGACACTTAACTATGGCCTATCTTTGAAGAAGCAAGGAAAAAAAAAGGGGGGCAGGAAAAAAAAAACACTGTAGTGGAGTGCTTGAAACTATGCAAGCAGACACTGAGGTGTGCACTTTGATCAGGAAGGACATGTAGCTCTAATAGCCGTTTGAGCACAGTAGCAGGAAGGAAGGATGCAGCTTCTCCTGTAGCTAACTGTTTCGGTACTTAAATAGGCCTACAATGCTTTATTTTCTTTATATTACAAAGGGAAAAGTGGCAAACGGGCAGTTGTGTAATCATAATGCAGTTGTGTAATCATTCTGGTGTGTTTTGAAGTGTACTGAATTGCACTCAGTTGGCTACAATAATTTGTTAATAAAAATCAGCTAATCATCATCTTTTTAAAGCCGCTTACTCTTACCAAGTAAGTTAGCACTTCATGTCCTATTTGGCTTCATTGATTTGCCAACATCGATTATTCCACTGAAACTTCAGTGTGTATCTTTCCCCTAACATTACTTTTGTGTCTGATAAGCACTCTGTAATAATGGAGTTTCCTCAGTTACGTCCTTTAATCTTCAAAAATCTCATGCTGCTGAAAAATGTCTCATTTTTTTTTATGCTACAGGAGGGAAAATAATTGCATATTTAAAGAAAAACTTCCACGCTCTTCTCAGTAGAAATGCTTACAGTTGTTTCAGGTCACAAGGGAAGCTCATAGGTAGAAAAGTTAAAAAATGCTGAACTTCTTAAAGTGATGCTTGGAAATTT